ATCTGCCAGAAAATGCTGAAAAAAGTGATACAGGTAACGCAGCGACTATCTTCCATAAACAAAATGGCGACTTACTCTGGTCAGGATCATGTGCAGTTAGATGCTGTAATATTTTTGTTGGGTGATTTTGTTTAGCGGCATATCAACCTCTATGGGTTATTTAATGCCGAAATCTAAATATATTGAACACAATCTTATAGCTTCAACTACAGATAAAATGTATTGTTGATGATTTTTCTATAAAATTTATTGTTGGTAATTCTGCTTTAAAAATGTATTACTGGTAATTTTACTATAAATATGTATCATTGGTAATTTTTTAATATGAAAAAGGTATTTTTACTATGTGTGTGTGTTGTGCCATAGTACCTATTCTTTGGTAATGGACTCTCCCATAGATAATAAGTAGGAGTAGCAGTGGCAAGTCTGGAAGAACTGTGTTGAGCGGTCTCTGACTGCGCACGCCTTCTGTCGAACTCTCTGCGTTAGCAGAGAGGAACCCGGACGAGGCTTTGCCGAAGGGCAAGGTTTCGTCCGGGGAGGTAGACAGGGCCTGAACCCGTCTAGGCGGGTTCAAAGGCTATATTTTTGGCCGGGCCCACGGGCTCGGGGATACCCACATTAAACCCGGCCTTGTGCCATATTCGGTCCTCGTGGGTGAAATGATAAATACCGAACGGTGTTGAGCGGTCTCTGACTGCGCACGCCTTCTGTCAAACTTTCTGCGTTAGCAGAGAGGAACCCGGACGAGGCTTTGCCGAAGGGCAAGGTTTCGTCCGGGGAGGTAGACAGGGCCTGAACCCGTCTAGGCGGGTTCAAAGGCTATATTTACAGCCGGGCCTACGGGCTCGGGGATACCCACATTAAAACCGGCCTTGTGCCATATTCGGTCCTCGTGGGTGGAACGATAAATACTGAACGGTGTTGAGAACGTCAGTCGAGATTCGGACATTTCAAGTACCAATCACAACTAGATTTGCTGCGTCATTGACTATTATTTTCCAAGTTCCTAACGTTTTGTACGACTTATTAGAAATACAAGCCTCCACTGTGAAAATACTCCACAACAGTGTGTTATGTTGTAATATTGTTGAAGCTATGTTTTGGAATACACTGATTTCTTTATTAAATTGTAGGATATTATATGGATTAATGTCATGAAATTTCTTTCATGTTGATTGGTGTATTGTTGGTCATTTTACTATAAAAATGTATTTTTATACTTTCAGAGTGTTTTGTTTTTGTTTGAGAGTTCACAATTTGTCCATACCTGGGACCCTAATAGGCGCTTCCACTCCGGGTTAGGGTCGGCTTGAGAACAACAGCAATTAAGAGATAGTTCAACGGTCTTCAAAATCTTCCGATCAGAGGCCTTGATGCCGTTTGTAGTTTATTGTCATACCCAGGACTAACTCTTGTTGGTTGACGACTATAAAAATCCAATGAAATACAGCGTAAGCTGTACAGTACTTTGACCGATAGGTTGGACAGCACTAGTATTGAACGGAGAATTATTATTATTATTAACCAAGGACAGAAGGAAAAGATATAACAAAGAGCGCCGCCAACGCGCAGAAAGCAGGAATAATCGAAACATTGAATTAGAAAAGCTTTCAGGCAGTGGAAGAAGGTGCAGTTACCATTTGACAATATAATCGAAATATATTTTGAGCGCCATTTTGAAAAATGTATAGCCTTGGGATTGATTTCCTGAAAGAGGAAGACTGATGCCGCATTCATTACCCACCATGACAAAAACAATATTTTCATTTATTTAAATGATGTTTCACGGGTTGTATCCACTGGTTTTCTTCAGATTGTTGTTTGTAACTTCTGGAAATTTTAAACTGAAAAATTTATTCGACACACAAAGAGGAGATTGATTCATGGTATGCAAGGCAGTAAAACTACTAAGGCATAAGCGATTACTGGGTGTGAAAGAATTAGAAAATAGAAACGTGATCACTGCTGATCTGGCACCGAACTACCGCCAGTCACGATGAAGAGATGTCTCCTCGTGGAGGCACCGTGCCTTGAGAAAATATTGGGCCTCAAACTCACACCAGACCTCAAGTGGAACTTTTACATACGATCCATACCTAAAAATGATCGGCTCCCTGTATCGCTCCAGTAAGTACCTAGCTCCCCATGCTATTCTCAGCCTTCTTAAGAGTCAGATCAAGCCGAAAATGGAGTACGGTTGTCATAATTAGGCGGAAGCTGCCCGGTCCTCACTTTCCAGGTTTGATAGAGTTCAAAAGCGTCTCCGAGTCCTTGCCAGGGAAGAACTATTTTCCACCCTCCAACTTCTCTCTCAAAGGCGAGATGTGGTGAGTCTCTCACTGCTCTGTCGATACTTTCATGGAAAGTGCTCGGACGAACTACATTCCTCGGTTCCGCCATGTCTGACCTCCACGGCTAGAACCCGACATATCACTTACATTGTAGCAAATCACCCGTGTTCCCTTGGTGGAGAGTTCCGCGCGAACAGCTTCTTCCAGTGAACCACTGCTCTGTGGAACAGACTCCAAAGAGAATGTTTCCTCGATTACTACAATTTTAACCTTTTGAAGTCTAGAGTTAACCGTTATCTTCCTATCTTATCCATTTAAACTACTCCTTAACATACCCTCTACTTCGAGTGCTCCCGGCCTTGTACAGGGAGAACCTTACTGTAAAAAAAAGGAGCGAGAACAAAAACAGTTTAATCAGGAAGACAATAGATAACGTTTGATATTGGATTTAAATTTTTGAAGGTCAAAGTTGACTGGAATTCATTTTTAATTAATAATGATAAATACATGTTGCACTTTAGGTCTAAAGTGTCATTGAGACCCAGTAGACGTTCCAGAAAGATATTAACGCACTAAAGATGACCCGACTTCTAAAGTTCATACAATCTCTGTAGGTATCCTCCAAGGATCTCTCCTCGGTACCATTCTATTTTTGCTTTTTTGTTAACGATTTACCAAGGAACATTCGCAGATCACTAGCAAACATCCATGCAAATGATACCACTGGTCATGAAAGCCTGCATGCTTAATGTGAACATTATGAGAAATTTAGTTATAATCATTTAAAATATAGTGTTGTACAACAGAATATACTTGATGTTTTGACTCAAGCGTCTCAAAATTAACTAAGAAAAAGTAGAAGTTGGCTTACACGAAAGCAAGTTTAGACCAGTCTTACCCATCTCTTTGTAGTGGACTCTACTAAGACTAATTACAGATAACTTGGACCTGATAATACTGCATTATCCTGTTGGAATAACCTATCATTGTCTGAGTACATGAAGTCCATAAATGAACAAATTGGTCAAAAAGAAGTACAATGTAGCAGTTAGCGGTTAATGTTGTGTTTAGGAAAGCCTTTCGACCCAATTTATGCCACGTGAACACACTACACATTATTATGGAAACACAACCAGCTTACAGGGTACTTTGCTAAAAACTGAGGTTTATGGCCTCATGGCGTCTGTGATATACCGAAACCTTGCTATAAGCCTGACAAAACTAGTACTGCTTCATGGAACTACCTCACGCGTTGTCAGTCCGCTAAGAACCAATTAGGGATGTCAGGTGTGGCACAATGTCCAATGTTGTGCGGTTAATATGAGCACCCAGGCGGTTCTTCTGTTCCGATATCACATGAAAACTAAAGAACGCCTAGCTAATCTGCTGCATATATTTTTGGTACCTCCTGCATTGAACGGGTATGTTATTTGTACCAGTGTTGCTTGTCTGTTGTCACAGACAATTCCTGTGAAATATTTTTGATTACGATTAAGTGTCCTTAATTGATCACTGGACTATTCACGATGGGCTGTAATGCCTTCCATGAGATACTCCAGTAACCGTAGATCGCTTAATCGCAAATGCTCTGCAATCATCTGAAGCCCGTAATCATACCCTGTTTGAACTCCAATTCTCTCTCCATTTTCATGCGCAGTCTAGCTGTTGTTCCCACTGACCAACCAGATGTCAGACCTCAAATGATTCACGTCTGCAGATTTCCGTGGCGTCGAAGTACGGTGATGCCACCTGCCATGAACTTTATTTCTACTAATATTTAACAATACAAGGCTCAAGTGCCATTCAAAGTAGAGGCTTACTGAATGAGTTTACATAAGCGTAAGAAGAGCAGGTAAGAAGTGCAGTTTTGTTTTTTGTTTGTTTTTTGGGATTTTTTTTTAATTTTTTTAGTCGAGTTCGCCCTAAGCAAGGCAATATAGCCACTAAGACACAAGCTTTTACTGGGTGCTGAAGTATTAGAAAACAGAAACATTGCTAAGTATCGAGAACAAAAGAAGAGTAATCAGGAGAACAGTAGATATCATTGACATTAAATTTACTTTTTTGCAGATTAAAGTTGGCTGGAAAACATATAGCCGGAAGGGAGTTCCACAAGCGGGAAGTGTGAGGAAAAAATGTTAGTATAGAAATTACGGTTGCATCTAGCCAATTCAACTGTAAATTGATGAGTTTATAAGGATATGCATAAAAAATAATGATTAACCTAAGACTTAAAGGATTACGGGATCGGCAAGCAACCTCACAGGAGTATGTTCCACAAAGTAGCTGCTCTTGGAAAGAAACTATCCGAATGGAACTTCCTCCTTAGTAATGGAATACAAAAGGAATGAGGTTGACATGACGATTCCTAGCTGTGAAGATCTGAACTGGGAGAACTAAGAAACGTATCACGTCATAACATTTGCTATGTGAATAGCGATAGGCTTGTGACGTTTCTTTTTTATTATTCATTTTTTACGGCTTATCAACCCTTTGCAGTTTATTTAAAGCTAGAAAATATTTTTAGATTGTAAGAATTTGGGAATGCCATGTGCTGTAAGCTTGGATGTGCGGGTGGTGTAATGGATAATAATTGTTAATCGGAGAGCGAAGTTCCAATTCTCATTGGGTTCGTTATATTCAATTACGCGCAGATACCCTTGGAAAAGGTATGAATTCATCTCTTCTCTCCCCAGCTATGGATTAATTCTCAAGTGGTCACCCATCTAAGTACTGACCGGACTCAACGTTGCTTAACTTTAGTGATTGTACGGGAATCGGTGATTGTGATAATTCGTCTGTGGGAAACGGTTTGTAGAGTAGAAAATAATTCATTTTCTACAAGGCCACGTAAACCCTTTTAAGCTCTCTCGAGGCTGGAAAGTGAGGATTGTGCAGCTGCGGCCAAGGTATGGCAGCAATACGCCATTTTTTTAAAATCTGATCTGATTCTTGTAAGGACAGCATGGCAGGAGCCAGTTACATTCTACAGCTATATAAGGAGACGACTATTTCTTTTTTCCATCGATAGGCTTTTGGACTTTTCCTCTGTGCAGAATATGGTTGTAGAGTTGAAAATAATTAATCACTCCCAAGGCCGCGTACACGCTTTTACTGCTATCATATGACTTTTGGTACATCAATGTATACAGGATTTGCCTGTTCAAAATACATGACCAGAACGTTTTATGTTAAACTCTCAATTTTCGTATGTACTCTTATTCGCTTCGGCGGATGGTTTGAATGCAATAATAATAATAATAATAATAATAATAATAATAATAATAATAACAACATCAATAATATAAATAATAATAATGATAATAATAATAATAATTGGAGTACATGCAGTAAATGAGATCTCATTAAACAGTAACTTTAACAGTATATTGTGTGGCGCCATTTTGATGCAAAACGTAATTATTTGTACATAAATTTAATTTCTAGACTCCAAATAAAATTAAAATAACGAATTATTTGTCACCCGAAAATAAATTCTCCACGTGTAATTAAACCTATATTAGATGTAATGGTCGTTCTTCACGATGGAGATAGAAAATAATGACATAGAATTTTTTGGCTTAGTTACGACTAACGATCCAAATAAAAATATGTAGTCTTCTTGGTGGTATGTTCTTTTAAATATCTTGACCCTTTACGACGTGGGCGATCATAGCTCTCCCCAGTTTAACTCAAAGCAATGTCGGTCTGTCTGCCATCTCTCTTTGTCCATACGCTTAAGAAGTGGAGTGTGGACAAAGAGAGTGTAAATGGACAAAGAGAGTGAAATCCCGCTGAAAACACCGGTTCTCGTTCGATCACTGATGTTAAGCCATGTTCGGTTCGGTAAGTAATTAGATGGGAGACCGCTTTGGAATCAAAATTACTGAAAGCGACCTCCTATAATCCGAAATATGTTTCAGCTATAAAAATGGGGTTGGGGGTCTGGTACGTTTTGGCGTCGCCACTTTGGCATTGTTGATTTGACGTCAGAAAAATAATTGGACTATTCGGCACAGCTGTTTAGCCGTCAGACAGTTTCGACGTCACTGTCTTTGACCCGAGGCACCCCTTCCCCCCCCCAAAAAAAAGGATAAAAGCATTGAAAACACCCAACTTTCAATATGACTTTTTATTCATTTAGGGAATTAAGGGTCCTATTAAAACACTAATGGAATAATGTAAATTAAAAACTTAAATTAAAAATATTGTATTAAAAAAAATACTAATGATTCAAGTTATGATTTTTTTGATTCGTTCGTCAGCATCTTTGTATTTTTTATTTTTTATTTATTTATTTTTTTGTTTTTTTTTAGCTTTTGGGGGGTGGAGGGCGAATATCCAGCGATCAACTTTTCGAGTTATGCTTCACATCTTTTCTGAACTACTACTTTTCTTAAATGTAAAAATGCCTCCAACTACTCTTTTAAAAATGCCTCCAACTACTCTTTTACTTAAATTGGACTATAGCATATAACGTCTAAGTACTAATTTGACTGCTAAGCGTGAGAGAGAGAGAGAGAGAGAGAGAGTGATAGAGAGAATTTGACTATAACGACGAAGTAGTAATCTGATGCCTAATCGTCTCTCTGCTACTCAGTTACACTGAATCGGCCACGCGGAATCAGTTACACCGAATGTGTCACTCCGGAGCGTCCCATTCCCATAAAAAGAAACCACGAAGGGTTGATAAGCCGTTAAATCAATTAAACCCAACTTTTACTATCACTTCACGACAAACTTATTAAGTAAGTTAGACGTCATTTTTCTCTTGCTTTCAATATGCCTTGTGAGTGTTAAATTCCCCAAGCCTTCTTTTCATGTACCAGAAATTTCAACTATTTTGGTTGTATTTTTCATTAAAACGTCCTCGTTGATCATAAGTTCTGTCCATAGAATTATAGGCATTCTTTGGTAGAGCCACATCTTTGTATCTTTAACTCTTTTCTTCATCTGTGAAGAGATTTTCCAGCATTCTATACCAAATAGGAGATTTGATATTACATAGCAATTAAGCACTCTCTTCTGTCTAATGAAATTTTCCTATATCTTAATACTTTGCTAATTTTTCGGAAGGCACTTTCGCTATTACTACGTGTCTTCGGATTTCTGAATCACATTTTTTTCCATCGTCTGTTATTACACAACTTGGAGATTTGGATTTCCACACCTGCTTTGTTATGATGTCCCTAATACATAGCTCACTCCTTGACGTGCTTCTATCAACAGGGAAAAGAAAGGAAAAAGAATATAGTTTGGATTGGTTTGGTTTGTTTTACGGCATAACAACCTCAATGGGTTATTTAATACCGACAAAATTTTTATTGCTGGTAATATTTTTTCAAAAATGTATAGCTTATAATATTTTTTTCAAAAATGCATCGCTGGTAATATTTTTTTCAAAAATAAGATTATTACCGGCAATACTTTTTAGGAAAAATAAATATTACCAGCAATACATTTTAAAAAACATATTACCAGCAATAAGAAAAAACTTGTCGGTATTAAAAACAAACATTGAGGTGGATATGCCGTAAAACAAAACGTTGTAGCATACCTACGGAAGATAATGGGTATGTCCCCATTCACATAAATACATTAATCAATACTGTATGCTGGTTTGCAGTCGAAGATTCGGACAGCGTTGAAGTCTTTACCAGACTTGATAAGACTGTTTTTTCTGCTACGTTTGGATATTCGTTATTTGAAAAAGCTTTGGATTTTTTCTTTTTCTTTTCTTTTTCAATTTATTACTTACCCATTTTTCTTTCTTTTTTTTTTTTTTGTACTTTTTGATTTTTACTGTTAAGTCTCCTTTTAAATTTTTTTTTTTCCGTTTATTTTGATTTTCTATATCCCTCCTTCCAGAATTTATCTGTTTATTTTTTCTACGTGTTAATTTTTGTCGTCGTCAGACTTTATTTTTTCGTTGTTTATTTATTACGTGTTATTTATTGCGTGTTACTTTGTTTCTTTGTTTTTCCTTTTAAATATCCGTTAAGTGTTCTGTATTTTATTTGTTTTTTTCTTCAGTGTTCTAATTTTTTGTGTTTATTTAGTTTAATCTGTTTGTTTTTAATTTATTTTCGTTCATCGGCGAACCTTTTCCGGCAGCCATATTGTTTGTTTGTTTTTTTTTGTTTAGTTTATACGTATTGATTGTTCCGTTTTTTTTATTGTATTTTGTCTTTTATATTTAGTTTTTAAAAAGTTTATCATTGCTTAAGGTGTTTTCTGTATATTTTACCATATTTTGTGTATTTTTTTTTCGGGTCTTTGTTCGTATAACGTTTGTTTTGGGTATTTTCGTTGAACTGTTGTTCTCCATATTAATTTTGTGTATATCCAATTTTTCATTTTCTAAGGTGTTTTTATTTTGTTTGTGACCAATTGTTCACGTTTTTCTTGTCAAGCCCTTAATTTGTCTGAAAAGCTTTACTGTTTTTTGTTTCTGTTCAGTTGAGAAAAAAAAATAAAAAGACCCCCCCCCACTCCACCAATTTCTTAATATGGTCCATAAATTTTTTTTCGGCACTAAAAGGAAAAAAAGATACACCCGATAAGTATCATGAAAATAAAAAGGAGGAAGTTATGGAGAAAACAGTAGTCGACGAGGAGAAAAGCCAACAGCAGGAGGTTGTTGCTGAGATTTTCGGCGAGAGTATGATAGCTGGAAAGTCACAAAATACTGAAAACCAGACGAAATCCGACGAATCTATGGAGGCCGATAATGGTCAAAATTTACAAAATTCGACAAATCCAGATAAATAAGACAAATCTAAAGAGGAAAATGTAGTGGTCAGAGAGGAGCCCTCATACTGGACGTCCCCACTTAAGTGTTTGATCAACATCACGGCGTTCCTCGAGAAATCCAAAGGTTATGCACATCTGGTGACAGAAGATGGACTTTTGGTCAATCTCGAGGAATTAAAGAGAGTTGAAAAAAGAATTGTATCAGTCTTTGTGGTGGACAAGCGTTCGCGCAAAATTACTCGCGCCACAAAATACACCGTAATTAAGTCATTGATTTCTCTGGGGGATCAAACCCCAGAGAGTGATCAAAGGTAAGGGTTACTTTATGTGGGACGTACTGTTCCCCACGCCTACCGACTGTGAAGCCGCATCGAGTCGGGATCTAATCACAAAAGACTTATCCTGCGTACGGAATATGAAAGCCGGCGGACGACCCAATATCAGTATTTGAGGTTCCTCCTCAGATCGTCAGAGAGCACTTGGCTGCTTGGCTGCTTATCTGTCCTAATTTCGGCATATACTACGTGCTTCCTCTGACGATTTGAACAAGGGATGAAGTTTCGAAATCATGATTCTGGCGCCTGTCAACCCAAATCCGCTCGCCAATAATGGGTATGCCAGCAATCGGAACCGGTGTGGTCAAATCGCTGGTTGGGCCTGTTTCTCAGCCCCCATTCTCCGCAAAGCCTTTGCCCGCCGCTAGTGCAGTTGCGGAGATGGCAGGTCGTTGGTAAGGTCAAAGGGAAGCTTCAGGCAACGAGACCCCGTTCCACTGAAGTCCCCACGGCAAAAGACACCCACAGCCCCACTCCCTCTATCAGTTCAAAGGGTGACTCTTCGACCACTTATTCGGACAAACTGCGTGAACAGCGGCTCAAATACGAGCCCTCTTTCGAGAAATTGAAGGAATCATTACCCTGGAAAAAGTATAAGACATTCAACATCAGCTCCGTCGTCTCCATCCTCTAAACAACCCCTTATAGCTCCACCCCTAGTTTTGCAAACAATAACCCTAGCCTCTTCCAAACTGACCTCACTGAAAAAATTCTCCTCTCTCTAAATCCCCCTTAAAAAACCCACTCCGGCCTTAACTCCTAAACCATCACCTGTTAAAACACCTATGAATTCACTACTAAAAACAGAAGCCCAAAAACGTCAACGAAGCCCTTCCTCGGACTCTTCAAAACCTATCAAAGAGAAAAAAGTAAAACAAAATATTGTGGAGAATGTGTGAGTCCTGTGGCAAAACATCAATTCGACAAAGCATTTCCCCTATCCCGCAAACCTAAAGACTTGAAAATACTCTTAAACCTAAAAACAATTTGGACATTGAAGATCCTAAAATTTTCCCATGGCTGAAAGGATTTTGACTATTATAAGAGCGGGACATGGCTCAGGAAACATCTGGGTTATGATACGAGAAGCTAATAGCTCCTTCGATGTCTATCCGCCATTAGCTTATTTTGACAACGAAAATGAGAAGAAACTCAATCAACTCTGTTCAGGGAGGCTCCCGCTTTTCGTTCACCCCTCCCTTTATAGAGCACTGAAGCTAACTTTCCTCCTGAACATTGGCACCATCAAAAATAAGATGGGTACTGGCTCCATGGGAGAGGCCGTCGGTGTCCTAACCCCGGCCATGTTCAATGTAGGAGAGCAACCCTAATCGGTTTTCATTATGGCTCTTTGGTTAGCAAGTATAAATGCCCGAGGCCTGAGGTCGGAGTCTCGCAGGGCGAGGCTCTCTCGTGACCTTCAGCACTTCGAGGTGAATGTTTGTTGTGTACAGGAGACTCGGTTTTCTACTCATGACCATGAGAACATTCTGTCTAGGGGCTTCTCCCTCTACTCAGCATGTTTTGATGGTCGCTCGAGAGGTGTCTCTTGGCTAGTGAGCATGTCTTTGAAGGCTGCGTGTTCTCTTGTCTTCGCAGATCCGGCGGGCAGGCTTTGCGTGCTGGATGTTACTATGCGATAAGGTTCTTCAACTTGGGGTTTATGCGCCCAATAAGCAATTTCAGCGGTTTGGCAGTTCGAGCCGTTTTTGATGACATCTCGTCGGGTAGTTTTAGCGGAGGATTGGATTGCCGTCTTTGACCCCGACATAGATCGTAATGGGCCAAATT